TGGTGGTTGTTTTTCATTGGCCAGTTGGTAGAGAAGGAAGTGGTGGCTCTCACTGAGTAAATGAAGCTGCAGGAGGTGTGGGTGTAGTTGTGTTGTATGGGGACTGTTGCTGTCTCCCACTCAGTGAGATAAAAATAGCAATTGAATAACCATAAAAAAAGTAAAAGGAAATGGACAGAGAGCACGCCATGTAATCACACAAGAACAATAACCAAAAAAAGAAAAGAGGGGGGAAAAAAACTTCAATATCTGGAGAGAGGGCAGTAAGAGGAAACTATGTAGAGAAGGAGAATAATGGAGAAGAAAATGGGAAAAACACAAAAAGAAAAACAAGATCTCCTATGAGTTGGATTGACAGAGTGGGTTCAATTAGCACCAGTTGTGGAGATGGTGGAGGGTTGGGCAGTGTTTTGTTCTGTTGTACATAGGGTTGCTATGAGTCATAACCCACTTGAAGACAACAACAACTTTCCATAATATAGTAACTTGACATATCACAAAGTTCCCCAATACCATGTATGATCTCACAATTAAACCATATCTTCCTGAGTTTCTTTGTGATAGATTCCTGTAAAGTCTGCAACACTGGACACAGGTAACACAGCTGGATTGTTAATGCAGTCAGCTCATGTCATTTTGCAGCATTGGTGGCTACCTATTGAACAAAGCCATTTTGCTGTCATGGTCACTTAACTGTATGGTCATCTGTGCTCCCCTCTGCTGATCTAATTATACTGTAGACAACCATTCAGGAGACCAACTGCTATCTTGAGGGTGTCCCTTTTATTATGAGGGGACATTTTATACTTTCTCTTCTAGAGTCATTTTATAGCAGTCTTCATGCTTTTAGCAATAAAGTAAGTAGACTTTCAACAATTTTTCTTTTAGAAACTTACCCATTTAGAATCCTTTACCAATACGGACACTTTTCAGTGAGTTATTTATTTATTTTTTCTCTTGCTTTCCTCCTCCTGTTATTGACAGATTTTTTTCTCCCCCAAAATCTTACTCATTTTCATTCCTCCTTTGTATGACCTGTAACTTTGTTTCACATATTTGGCTATGACAGTATGAATAATGGAAGAAACATGAAGTAATTTCCCTTGTTAGTCATATAAAATCAAGCTTTACCGAATGAGAGCTTAATGCCTAGAAACAGATGCCACATGAAACTAAAATAAATTGTTTAGAGTGAAACTTACATATGACGTGCCTAGTTTATAATACAGGTAATGTATCATAAGCCTTGTGTAGCTTACATCATTACTATAAAAGACTTGATTAGGCTCCTTTCCACTTTATTGTTTCTCACAGTATTTGAATGTATTTCACAATATCTTTACAATAGAATTATGTGAAATGTCAAAAATTAAAACAAAATGCATTCTGGGTGTTGGAAAAAAATAAAAGGAGGGGTTTTTATAGATCATCTCTTTTTCTCTTCAATTCAAAAGGAAGTATAAGACTCTTTGATAGTTTAAAATTTAGTAATCCTGCCTTAGGGAAATGGAAGATCCAACCTAGTGAAACATAAAGTGGTACTTGTTTATAATAAGCCTTGGTCATTAAATTGTATAGTTTTCCCTTTTGTTACATTAGCACGTAGGCTTGTAATTCTCTCTAACATTTATTTATTTTTAGCTAAGAAAGTATTATTAAACACATCTGTCTCCAAATTTGCAGGCAGAGGGTGTTTGAATAATCTGCTTCTCCTTTCTTTGTCCATCTCTTTCAGGTTGACTGGAAGCTTTGTGCCAGACTTGATAGTGAGCATGAGTAGCCAAATGTGGCTGCACCTTCAAACAGATGAAAGTGTTGGATCTGTTGGCTTCAAAGTTAACTACAAAGGTAATGATGAGTCGCTACTGTGAGAAATGTGATATCATAATCCCACCAGAGTAAGCTTTCAAATTCAGGTTTAATTTCATCCACAAAAATCAAAGTTTCCCAGACCATAAGCAAGAATGCATTACAAAAAAATAACCTTCTCTCTATTTAACTACAAATGTTGATTTCATTTTTCTTTAAAAAAGTTTGTTTTCCTTTTAAGGTCTGTCTATTTTGTGTGTCTTCTTTCTCCCCAGTCCACTACACTGTCTGTGTGTTTTGCCTGCTCTCAATTTGTTGTCTTTCCCAGAATAGACCATTATATAAGTACTTTATATAATTTTACTGTTAATACTAAGTAGTAAATACTTAAATGCAACAATAAAGGATTTCTTCAAAATCCAGGGTACTAATTCTTCTGTAATCTTTCAATGACTCTGTCAGGTGAAACACATGGTCTTAATCGAAATAGTTAACTCCTATGTAAATCATGGATCATAAATTTGTTGAATTGGTACTTCCTATCTTGATCTTGGTAGTGAGACAGATTAAAGATTTATTACATGTGTGCAACAAAATCTTTGCTTCCAGTTCTATTTATAAGTACTAGAGGCAAGCACTGTCAAATCATGTGTATGTGGGGCACATGTTTAACCTTAATTAAAGTCAAATAGAGACAATGCATATATGTATATAATATACATATTGCAAAAGTAAATTTGGGATTTTAAGTGAAACATATGTAAATATTAATCAATTCAATTGAAATCTATGCATTTGAAAGCTAAAAATGTAAATGAAACAAAAGAACATTATATTGCTTGAGTTTATTAATGCCATTGTAGTAAAAATCATTAGTTTATATCTTATCAGTTAAACAATGGTAGTGAAAACATCTCTTTCTTGCATAATAACAATTTTTAATATGAGTTTCCTCTTTCAAACACTCCAAGCCTTTGTGTCTGCACACATGGAAAATGAATGTATGATATTGAAAGGGAGACAGGCTATGCAAATTCTGTATTTTGAACTTGTGCCCCATTTTGGTTCTATATTAATTTGAATAGTTCAGAAAACTTATATAAATGTCAGTTAGGGGGAAAAAATGCCTAGCCTGATTATATTTTTAAATATATTCCTCCTCCATTCAAAATCTACATCTATTCTCCAGTAAAAAAAAAAAAAAAAGTTACAGAATTTAAAGAATGTTTAGCTTAAGTTCAAAGTATCAAAGTGAAGCTGATATCCTTATATTCTTCTTGGTTTTATCATTTCCTTTTCTCTTTGAAGGCTACCTGTCAGAAAATGTATAGTCTTTTAACCTTAGACGTTATATTAATCATTAATGACAGTACTTCCACGAGTCCACAGCAGTTAAAGCTCATGGCCAGGTTGGAGCAGCGGGGGGGCTCCAGAAGTATTTACTTAGCTCTTCATTCCCCTGTAATTCAAGAGCTGAAAAGGCATTGTAAACCAGCACAATTAAGCATGATTTTGTTCTCTTTCTTCCCATTTTTCAACATTAGTAATTCAAAATATATATCCCAAAGATCTGCTTATGTATCAGGTATGACTGAGTTTTTGAAAGTAGAACAGATACCATCTCTCTGAGGAATATCACGATATGGTGACAGAGAATAAAACATACACTATTATTCATACACAAGCAGTCACAGAGATAAGAAATTTGAAACTAAACCAAACGCCCTGCCATCAAGTTGATTCCAACTCATAGCGATCCTCACTGGGTTTCCAAGATGCTAAATCTTTACAGAAGTAGATTGCCTCATCTTCCTTCCACTGAGTGGATGCTGGGTTTGAACCAACAACCTCTTGGTTAGCAGTCAAATGCTTTAGGCACTGGACCACCAGAACTCCTTGAAACTATTCTGGGTGATTCTTAATGGTTGCTACTCTTTTCGTCTGTCTTGTTTCAATCTTGTCTCATATTATGCTCCTCCTTTAATGGTTTCCCATTGCTTAAAGTCCAAATAAGATTTCTTTATTTGTTTTTTGTCTTTCTTCTTAAAATGCAACTTCAATACCTTATTCTTAATACTCATAGCCCAGCAGGCTATTCACACCCTTCTTCTTTGGACAATTTTTAATCTGAGTTTCCTCTTTCAAACACTCCAAGCCTTTGTGTCTGCACACATGGAAAATGAATGTATGATATTGAAAGGGAGACAGG